CGCCCCAGGTGGAGGGGGCGAGTCGCTGGGTGCGGGCAGGTGGTGCTGCCCCGGTGGTGCGGGTAGGTCGCGGCGGGTGGTCAGTCCCTTCCTCTGCTCCATCCACGGCCACACGAGGAGTTGGCTCCTCTGTGGGTGCTTTCCCCTGCAGGCGGGCTGTCTGCAGAGCCCCCCTCCGGCCGCGGCGGGGCCTGGCGTCCTTCCACGAGGCACCTTCTGCACCTGGTTGTTCACGAGGGAGCCTCGGTGCTGCCCTGGCACCTGCTGCTGGGCTTCCTGGGCAGGTGGGCACAGTCTGGGGGGGCTGGGAGCCCGTGGAGCTGGGGTTTGCCGTCCTGGGGCAGTGCCTGGCATCCTGGTGCAGGGGCAGCCGGCTGTGCCCAGGGCCCAGGCCAGAGTGGCGCTCCCGGGGGCACGGCGAGGTCTATAAATAGCAGCGATGCTGCTCTGGCCACGCCAAGCACCTGCGCAGCGTCTCCCCTCCTCTCCCCATCCATCACTGCCAGGCTGACAAGGATCATTTTCATCATGAAATGCTTCAGACCCCTTTAATTAGCAGAATCACTTAAACTTCCAAGAGACGGTGCCGTTCCCAGACGCAGCCTTGGAAGGGGAGAGAGGGGCAGGGCTGGCGCCAGCCCCCGGCTGCTCCTGGGATGCCCGGGGAGGAGCCCCGGCCCCCGGCTCCTCCTGGGATGCCTGGGCCGGAGCCAGTCTCCTGCGGATGGCAGGTGCGGGGGGCCAGGCCGTGCTGGCTGGCGGGGGTGGTGACCGGTGTCGCTGGCTGGGACCCAGCCCTGCTGTGTTCCTGGGCCAGAGGCCGCAGGACCGAGGCAGCGCCCCGTCCGGCCCATGGGAGCTCCCGGGTATCGTGCTTGTGGCTTCCCTTGGTGCCAGCGAGCCCCTGCGGTGGGTGCGACTCCTGTGAGGGAGGGCGCCGGCGGGGGCAGGTGCAGGGAGCAGTGGGCCCGTGGGAGCCTGCTGGGGGCCGGGCCAGGCCAGCGAGGTGGCTCCTTCCCGTGGAGGCAGGGAAGCTGCTCCTGGAGAGCCCCGGTAATTGCAGAGCTGAATGTCAGGCAGGCTGGGGGACGGGGGGGCTTCCTGCCCATGAGAGCCAGGGAGCTGCAGCCCCAGGCAGGCAGGGGTCCATCACCATAAATCCTGCCTGCGATAATCACTGCGATAATTGCTACCTGCAGGGGAAGTGGGGAGGGTTTGGCATCTCCGCACCGCGTCCCCTGCGCCTTCCACGCTGGAAATGTCACCAGAGACGGCGTTTCTGCCCATCCCCCTCCCGGCTCCGGGCAGGGGGTGGCGGAGCAGCATTTTCACCATGAAGTGCTTCAGACCTTGGGAAGACATCCTGCATATCCCCCCCACAGCTCACCTGAGCGCCCAGCGTGCCCGCAGGCCTCAGTGCTGCCCCTCTGCCCCTGCAGGCGTGATCCGCACGGCGGTGGCCGACCTGGACCGCGAGACGCAGGACCGGTACGAGGTGGTGATCCGCGCCACGGACATGGCAGGGCAGCTGGGCGGCCTGTCGGGATCCACCACCGTGACCATCGTCATCACGGACGTCAACGACAACCCCCCACGGTTCCCGCAGAGTAAGAGCTACCCTGCGCCTCGTTTCAGGCACCGGCACATCCGCCCCCAGGAAGTGCAGGCCAGGCACCCAGGGTCTGTCCTTGCAGCAGGGACAGCCACGGCCCCTGGCAGGGTGGTCTGGGGATGGGACATTGCTGAGACTGGCAACCCCGGGGCTGAGTGAGGCGTCCTAGGCTGCTGCAGCCAGGGCCCAGCCTGCCCGGGGGCCTGGGCTCCAGAGCGTGCTGGGTTCAAGGGGGCGCTGCCAAGTCCAGGGGATGGAGCACTGCAGAGAGCATGGCAGGGAGATGCATCATCTGGCCTGGCCCCTGGCAACCCCCCTGAGACCCAGGAGGGCTGGGGGACCCCAGCTAGAGATGGGTACGATACCCCCGCTCATGCCCCCCACGCCCAGCCCTGTCTGTCCCAAACAGGTCCCACCAGTGCTTGGTCGGGAGTGCTCGGGGCCAGCCCAGGCGGTGCCGTGACTCCCTGCCCCTCTCCTCCCCTGTTGCAGAGATGTACCAGTTCAGCGTGGCAGAGACGGCGCCCACGGGCACGGCAGTTGGGAGGGTCAAGGCGGAGGATGCCGACGTGGGGGAGAACACGGACATGATGTACCAGATCAAGGACGAGGAGGGTGTGGAGTTGTTTAGGGTCACCACCGACAGCAACACCCAGGAGGCTGTGGTCCTCGTGCAGAAGGTCAGCAGGGGCCAGGGCGGGCTGGGCTGGGCTGGGCTGGGCTGGGCTGTCCTGCGGTGGAGAGCTGGGCCCCGGTACTGGAGGACTGTGCCCAGCACATGGGCTTCGAGCAGACCCTTGATGCAGGCGGGAGCGAGCAGCAGCTCGCCAAGGCCGCTGCCTTCCAGTCACCTTTCCCATAGCAATAATCACCAGGTGATTAATGATCCCCATGCCGCCGGGAACTGCTCGCGCCTGCCCTGTGCATGCTGATGTCTGCATCGCGCAGTGGGAGCGGGCAGGGGTGTCCTTCCCGCAGGGCAGCTCCTGACGGCTGTGCCCTCCCAGTAGCGCGGGAGCACGGGCTGCCGGGGGCTCCCACCACGCTGCCTGCCCTGCCCCGCCCCGCCCCCCCCTGAGGGGGTTTTGTAGGGGGCTGGGGGTGCCCAGCAGGGGGTGCTGCAGAGGGCAGGGCCGGGTAGGGCAGGAGCGTGGGCTGGAGCTGCCCCGCTGGCGCTGGTGCTGGCTCAGGGAGGGCGCCGCTGATGCCAGCCTGTTGCACCGCAGCCGCTGGACTACGAGTCGAAGCGGGTGCACACGGTGGTGGTGGAGGCCCTCAACAAGTTCGTGGACCCACGGTTCGTGGACCTGGGCACCTTCCGGGACCAGACCATCGTGCGCGTGTCCGTGCTGGACGTGGACGAGCCCCCCGAGTTCCGGCCGCCCTCCGGCCTGATGGAGGTGCAGGAGGACGCCCGCGTTGGCTCCGTGGTGGGAGTCGTCACCGCGCTGGACCCCGATGTTGCCAACAGCCCCGTCCGGTGAGCAGCTCGCCCCTCCCGGCTCTGGCCCTGCGCCACGATTGTGGGGGGCGTGGGTGGCGCGTGGGCAATGCAGGGCGGGCAGCTGGTGGGTGAGCGACAGGAGAAGTGTGCAGGGCCTGGCTGGGGCAGCTGCGGCCGCGTGAGGGACAGGAGTGTCGCTGGCAGGTGATGGCTGCGTGAGCGGCACAGGGGCGTTGGGGTGATGCTTGGGACCGACCGACCAACCAACGGGCGGGCAGCAGCCGCGGAGCCCGAGCCGGCCTCCATGGTGACTTGAAATGACAGACGGGCCGTGAGGAGGAATGACGTTGCTGGTGGTCGCGCGTGTTGGGGGCCGGGGCCGGGGCCAGAGCGAGATGCCGAGCGCGGCAGGGGATGCGGAGCCAAAGGCACCTGCATGTGGGCAGGGGCCTCATTCAGGCAGCGGCATATTTGCACAGACCCTTCCCCGCCACAGCCAAGGGGCTGCTGCCGAGCGAGGCTCTTATTACTCGGGGCACAGAAGTGGCCCCGTGGCTCTGCCAAGGGGCCGGAGTCGTGAGCAGCGTGGACGAAAAGCCGCTGTGCTGAGCACGTCCTCGGCGGCTGGAGACCCCCCTTGCAAGGCCGCAGGGCTGGGGAGAGCAGCGCGCTCTGCAGCGCAGGCCTGCGGGACTTGGGCTCTGCCGCTTCGGGCAGGGGCTGTTGCTGGGGGCGGAGGGCGAAGCAAGGGAGCGCGCGGGCCGCCGCGGCCCTGACGTGCAGCCGGTTCCCATGACGCGCTCAGGCAGCAATCGTCCCTGCGGCTGCCCCCAGGCCGACAGCTCCTCAGGAGCCCGGTGGGGCTCCCTGGCGGCTCCGTCCCTCTGTCCGCCCGCTCGGCTGGTTGCAGCGCCTGTCACCACAGAGCATGCCGCGTCCCCTTCCCCTGAGCCGCCTCGGGGACGAGCCTGGGGCTCGGGGCCAGCTCGCCCTTCCCGTTGCAGCAGCGCTGGCCCCACGAGCTGCCTGCATGGGGCCCGGCGCTGCCCCTGCTCTCCCTGTGCAGCGCGGGCAGCCCCGGCGCTGATATGGTGCCAGCACCGGCTCGCAAGTCCTGCCAGTGCCCGGGTGGGACGTGACCCACACTCGTCCGCGGGAGGCAGCCACGTGCCTCTTCGCCTTCCAAGCGCTCTGCTCCCCGGTGGGGCCGCGGAGCCGGCATTTGTTCTCGCGGGCGCTGCCGGCAAGCGCAGCCCCTCCTGACAGCACTGCCGGGGTTTGATCCGGCCCTTGAAGTCTGCGCTGAACCCTCTCAAGTTGCCACCGCTCGGCAGATTCCCTTCAACTCGGGTCCTTTGTTGCTAGGGAGGAGAAGGAAAGAGGCTGGCTCTTCCTTGGTGGCGTTTGCAAGGTCTGCGTGCGGGAGCGGTGCAGGCGCAGCCATCGCCCTTCTCCTTGCTGCAGCCTGGCACTGGGAGGGGCGGCTCGCTCTCCCCTCGAGGCGGCCCCGGGTGCCTCTGGCCTCATCAGCATTTCCAACTCCTGCTGACTCTGGGCTGCCTCTAACAAGGCTTAGGGGGTATTTTTAGCCAAAAGGGCAGGAAGAGCCATCATAGGTGCCCAAGGCCCCCTCCACGGCCTGCCCCTGCCAGAGCTGCCTGTCCCGCGGGCTCCCCTTGCAGCCTGTTCCCAGCCTGGAGAGCCCCCGGGGTGCGAGGGAGCATCTCGGGGTGTCCTCACCTCCATTTGGCTCGATCCCACGTGCTCCGGGGCAGGGCAGGATGGCTACAACCAGGCCATCCTGCAAAAGGTGCCTGCAAAAGGCTGCTCGGGCCCTGGCGTGACGCACGTTCTGGGAGCAGCGGGCCACGCGGAGGTGCACAGGCAGCTTCCTTTGCGCCCATCCGAGCCTGGGGACCGTGCCGCCCTGCAGAGATCCTGCAGCGTGGAAGGGGACAGAGGGAAAGGCATCCCAGAGCAGCAGCCTGCTGCCTCGTGGGCCTGTCGGGCTGGCTGAGGAGCCCCGGAGTCGCTAGCTCAAGCCTCAGGCCTCCGGGAAGCGCTGGCGGCCAGCGGGGACTACGTCGAGGGCCGCACCAGCGCTGGAGAGCCAGCGCCCAGGGAGGCGTCTGCCACGGCAGAGGGGCAACGTCCCTGCCAGGCGCTGGCCTCTGCGGTGACGGCAGCCGCTCAGAGGCCTCTCCGGGCCTCGGCTGGATGCTGCCGGCTGCAGCACGGGCGCTGCGCCAGAGCCAGGGCTAACGGGCACAAAGCTCTCCTGGACGTGCCCAGAGGGGCATGAAAGGCCACGGGGACACGAGCAGGAAACCTTTATCTGACGAGAAAGCGCTTTTCTTTGTCCCGTCCCTCATTCAGGCGCTGACAAAGCCGGAGCCGGGACACCTTTAGAAGGAACGTTCTGTTCCAGTTGGCTTTTGGCTCCCGCGCCGCGCTCCCCGCGCAGATGCGATTGCTCTCAGCCGCGCCATTGTATTGGGGAATACGTTGACAAACTGTGTACGTGCGTCTGTGGGTATGGGAGCTTTTTGTTTTCCTCTCGGCAGCGGGAGCCTGTGCTCTGATTGCGCGCGTTCCAGGCGTTATCAGCCCCGGGAAGATGCTGCTTGGGATTTAAGGTTCTCAGAGATATCCTTGTTTGGCATTCACCAAATCCAGAGACATGTGTTGGACACGGGCATTTTATAGACGCCAACAACGCAGTGAGCACTACAACCTGCTTCTGCACAAAAGGGAGAGGAGAAAAAACAAACCCAACAAAAAGCTTTTCACACCCTGCTTGAAAAGCTTCCCATTAACAAAACCCGGCACACGTGGTAGCAAACGTGTTCCTCCTTGCGCTTGGGGGAGAAAGGAAGCGGGCTGCTCGAGAGGCATTCAGGAGGATGAGGAGCACCAAGAAGCTGTCTAAATTAAACAGCCACTTGTAACATCTAAACAACAGGCGATGCCGGCAGGGAGAGCGGAGACCGGGCGACGCGGGCCGCATTCCAATCAGGGCCGGAGCCTGCGGCACGCGGCATCCCCGTCCGAGCGCCATGCTGGCTTTGGCCGGAGGAGGGGCAGGCACGGGCTCCCCGCCCCAGGGCTCGGCGCTGGGCGATGCGATTGAGGGCTGCAGCGAGGCCCATTAGAGAGGCCAACGTCCCCCAAAAAGCTGTCTGCTCGGCATCGTCGGCAGCCCCTGCTCACTCGCACCCCAGGCCTGAGCTGCCCCTTTCCTGGGGACCGGCGGCGCTGCGCTCATGTAGGTGCAGCGCGGGCAGCTGGCCCTGCGGCCCCCTGCGCACCCGTGGCCTTGGGGTAAGTTTCATAGTTTCTAGGGCCGGAAGGGACCTGAACAGATCATCCAGTGCGACCCCCTGCCCCGGGCACCAACGAGTGCTGGGATCATAAGAGGAGAAAACTTCCAGCCCCAGAGCCAGACTCCCAGCCGCCCTCCCACGACCCCCACGGTGTCCTCGGCGTGCCAGGAGCACGGGCACCTGCCTGGAGCCACTGCACATGTCTGCGTGACCGCCCGCCCCGGCATCCGCCTGCCAGTGGCCCGCATGGTGGCTGCATCCGTGCGCGGTGCCTGATGTGCGTCCCCGTGTTCCCGTGTCTGCTCTGCTGCATCTCCATCCCTCCTGCCTCGCGCTGGCCCGGGACGGGCGTCTCGCTGGCTCTTTCCAGTGCAGGGAGGAGCGAGAGACCCGGCTGCTCCCCTCGGCCCCAAAGCAGGGGCCAAGACGGGAGGCTTTCGTTTGCCAGAGTGAGCGTGTGGGTCCGTCACGCTCCCAGCGCTGATGTGGGGTTTGGCCCCCCAAGTGTGAGGAGCGGGCACCGGTGCCCCGCGCAGAGAGAGACTAGGGAGCGGAGCAGTCGCCGGGATCTCGGGGGAGGCTCAGGGCCCGGGTGCAGGAGGCGAGCTCAGCCCGTGCTCCTGCCTCCCCGCTGGACCCGGGCGAGCACACCGACTCGCAGGGAAGGTAGCGGCCCAGGCCCTGCGCTGGCTGCCGGGCCGCAGTAGGGCTGTCAATCCTGACCGGCCGAGCTGGGCACAATTGAAAATAAACCTAGCGGCAAAACAATGAGGCCTGCGCGGGGAGGGCGCGATGCTGCGCTCCCCCATGCCGGCCCTGGCCCCTGCGCGCGCGGAGGCTGTGGATGCCAGATGCTGCCCGGCCCAGGGGCCCCTCTCGCTGCAGCAATTGGCTTTTCCTCCCCAATTATTCTGATGGAAGAAGATTTCTGTTTGTGCCGCAAAGACCAGAGGACAAAGCGAGCGAGCGGGCGGGCGGCTACTGGAGGCGCAGGCAGCC